TTCTTCTATTATTAAAACTATGTGGAATTTTGAATGCTGTCATAACAAGAATGAGAAATGCTTTACATATTTTATTCTGATTTTATATATTTTTATCTCAGAATCTTTAGAAGCCTTGAACAATGTGAGATCAAGGTGGCCAAACCTGTAAATTGACGAAGGAGATGAAGAACCTGAATCCACAGGAGTGGAAGATCAAAGAGAGAACGAGCCAGGAAATTACTCAATTGAAAAAAATAAAGATGAAATGGTCAGTATAGGTATTTTTCATTTATTATTTGTAAAACGTTTTACATACCTTGCTTTAATTATGTTTGTATCTTATTACAGAAAATTGCCAAAAACAGAAAACGACGTGCCTCAAATAAAGAATTCGAATTATTTATTGAGAATAATTTGTTGAATGAAAAAATTTCTGATAAAAATATTACAAGCGAGTCAACAAAGGTAAGCCTTACAGAGGAGTATAATATTAATAGATATGAGTGGAATATTAATTGTTTTTTGTTGTTTATTATAGAAAAAAATGAAGAAAAATGAAACATACAATGCGGACAATACTCAAACTGATACCTAGTAGAAAATTAAACACATCTGTTAACAAAGTTTCGCTTAAAAAAAAATCTCTTCTAGAAAAAATTCAACAATTAGAGGCTGAATTGAAAAAAAGGATGAAATACTTGGTAGCAATGAGCAAGTTGAACATTTAGAAAGGATTTTTGAGAAGAAAATGACGAAATTAGAAGAAAGGTTAAAGAAAAACTTGGAGAATACAATAAAAATGGTTGAAAACGTTGTTGGAGAGAGTGTTAATCAACTTGACCAAAAGATATCAAATATCGAGAACATGATGAGTACGTCACCTGCACTCAATATTCAGAAAGTATTAGATTGGATAAATAATCTTCCTGAGAAGATTGTATGAGGCTTTGTGCAATGCCTTTCTCTTTTTTAATTATAATATTAAAATTCTTCAAATACTAGTACATTTTTCTGTTTTCATATTGGAATTTATTTATGGAATGCATTCTTATTTACAATTTATTCCAAATAGTGGTTAACTGCAAATATAATACTACTCAGAACTTTTTACTCATTTCTGCAAAGAAACATCATTTCTAGTTGTAAGGTAAAATAATTTACTTTTCAGCATATGTTCCCTATTTTTTAAGTAATATAGTTACTAATCAAGCACGAGATTTTGTGAAACATATATTCATATGTAATTAAACATATATAATTTTTCAGCAATACATCTACCTTCAACTACACCCACTTCAAGTAGCGTAACCTCTGAACTTGAAGAAAAAGTATTCTCTCTTTTTATCTTTTTTTCTCTCGAATCAAAACATGCACGCTGATATCACAGTGTTTTTGTTAGTTATTGCATAGTAGATGAGTTTTCTAATCCATTTGTAAGTTATTGCTATTTTCTCAGATAAATCTTGGTGAAGGAATTATGTGTTCCAAATATGCTCACCAACTTCTCAATACAGTTAAAGAACATTCTGATTGGGCTGTAGCACTCCTTACAGGAGTGTACGGTGATAAAGCCCAGAAAATGCGGTATGGGACGCCCCGGAGTCCAGACTTGGAATCTTTTTCACGTTCTTTTGTAAATATTGCCAAATGTAAGATGTACATGTTGTATATTATGCATATTTTGGGCAGTTATTTGTTTTAATAGCTAATATATAGATTTGCAGACCATTACAGAAAATGGCTCGAAAACCTTACGATAGGGAATACTGAAGATTGTAAGTACAGTTTTGTTCAAGTGGAAGAATTGATCAATAGCCTCCCAACATACCTTTCGAAAAGGTATATTGATATGAATGGGCCCCGTCTAAAAAAAGAGTAATACCTCGAGTGAACAATCACGACAAAAACGGTTTGATCCTAATCGGAAAAGAAGACCATATCAGAGAAGAGGCTCTTTACCACAACTTCAGTTACCACCAGCTATATCAACTATAACCCAGCAGCTACATCAACAAGAATCAGTAGTTCTACAGCAGTTACAAAATCAAGAGCAACATTTACAGCAGCTAAATACACCAGTATTATTGGAGTCTGACAACTCAAACTGGCAAATTCCTTATAATTTACCGTGTGAACCCTAGGGTCCAGCAGCAATCCCAATGATTCGTAACTCTATCGAACCAGAAAATTGTGGTAAGTTTATTTATAGGTTTTGTGTAGAAAAAAATAGTCTGAATTAATTACAACTTTTTACCTTCCAGAAATTGAGCATAATTGATTGACATTATAAAAAATAATGTAAAATAAAATACGGTGATCTTGAGAAACACGAAGCTGTGATATAAGCTGTCATCCAATATCTATTCTTCATAAGTGCAACAAGCGTAAATAATCTTTTATGTTTATTTTATTACTTAGTGTGTGAAGTAAATATGAAGCACTTTTATTACTTTATTTTATATGATACGCTGTAACAAAGTAATGTGCAATAAAATAATGTGGTTTCTACATTTTAATTTTTTAATTTTTTAGGGTAAACCTTTTTGTTAAAATGACCGCCATTTTCTTAAAAATCGAAATTTCGTAAAATCCTTACGTACAGCATTAAAAAATATTGTTGTTAATAGGAACATTCTTTGGTTTTTTTTCTAGGAGCCACGTACAGAGTGGAATTTGACACGCCGTCTAACGGTGTTCCTCCAAAGGAATGTATTTTGGCGCCACCTGCAAGAGATTATTTTTGAAACTTTTGCAGTTTGTAATTACAGATTAAAGTTACATTAATAAATGACTAAAACCGATTTTGTTTCTGCGCACTCTTTGTATGCAAAAAAAATTCATGAAAAACGCCTCCAAAATCGCAGTCAAAGGTGGTATCCTGCCTTAATATTTATGATATTAATAACAAAAATATTAAAGAAAAGATCAATTAATTCAATCGATGAGTGCAAAAACCACATAAGTTTAAAAATGTTTGTAACTGACTTTATTGCGTATGAGTTGTCGACTCTAGAGTCAGTTTCGAAAATTTTTGGACTAATGTAGTTTTTGCACTCACCGATGTATAATGAGCTGTAACACCTCATGAATAATATATGGACGTTTTCAAAACACTTCGTAAACGTTTATTGAATTATTTAAAAACAAATTCCTAAACTCTTGCAAAATAGTTGGAATACTTGACAAACATCTCAACAACAAAAAGAAAACACGTAATAAACACACGTAATAAACTGTTGCTTAAAACATCTTCTGAACATTTGCAAACGTCTATCAAACGTAACCGTGAACATGTCATAAACAACTCCATGTTTAAATTTATATCTCACAAACAATTCAATAAATGTTTTAAAACTCAAATAAAACATTGACTTAACATTTAGACAAACTTCTTATAAACTATTAATAAACTATTTTCGCCAGGGTATGCTCGGAGTCTCCGCGCAGTGCATTCGGGGATCGGGACATATTGCGCCGACTCGCCCTTATACTCAAGATATTCCAAGTGAGTGACGTGTGCATCGACGGAACGACACTAATCGACCGAAAAGACCGTCTCTGAACAGACGCTTGTGCCGTAGCGGAATCCGTAGTTTCGCGATCGCGCAATCCCGCCTGGTTCGCGTTGCGATTTCCGTCGGACTCGGCCAGATCTCCGCCCGGAACGAAAAGGCGTATAGTTGTCAGACGTAAAATCTCGACCGGTTCTTGAGAGCATCTTTGCGGGACGAAGATTTCCGTTACGACCGCTCGATCGTTGCTGCCATATTCGAGAAATTTCGGCGACTTCGACCGTTGGCCGCCAAGGACTAGGCGTGTTGGTGTCACGAGTCCCAACCGCTATTTTCTTCGACCGTCGATGTGTCCACGAACTGTCCTTCCTTTGTATTATTCGAATTCTTTGTGTTCTGAGTTATTCTCGATCCGCGTCGCGCCTCGACCCGTGCGCTCAAGTGGTAGTAGAGCCGGCTTTTTAACACACGATTATAGTAGTGTCGTTCTACCTCGTGCTCTCGCAAACAGATATTGATATTGTAATTGATATATTAAAATGATATTTTTTTATGAAAAAGTCATAAATTTATAAAAATCAAAGGGGTCCTACTAAAGCACCCATACTAACCGTTCCTTCGTGCAGGAGCCATCTCAATTGTACAAATATTCTGCCAAGGTGAATTGCCAAAACGCAGCTGTTTTACTGACATACTATTTAGAAATACATTATGTAAATATTTATCAATATTTAATGAAAAGTCTCCATTTCTACATATATTTTTCGAAATGTACGCATAATTCCAGTAGTCCAAGTTTTATCTAGAGTAGTTTTGTCACATATAATTCTCTAAATATTTTCCTATCGGGGAAGAGTATACTACAATTAAACGAATTTTATAGCAAAGCAACTGTTACAAAATTCGTAAATCTGATTGGAGTATGCTCTTAAATTCACTCAAGATTAAGAGAATACGCCAAACGGATTCTCGAATTTTACAACAGTTGCAAAGCAGTTTTTTCTGCTAAGCGCGGCCATTGTTTTATGAATTATTGTTTTGATTTTATTCACCTTTACCGCTTAAGGGAATGCTGGAGTGATTCTACACTTTTTGCATCTTTTGCTCCTAGAACTATCTTGAAAACATTTGTGTAATGTACAAATTATTTATTATAATATAAAGGGTAGTTACTAAAGATTATAGAGGAGAAGGTGAGGGTTCTGGAAATTTGTGAGGGTCAAATTATAATATGTAGCTTTTGTGTACAGATCGACAGTGTCCCACGATTCGGACTACTTCAGAGAACAGCATGGTATCATTGAAACTAAGTTTAGATGTCTAAAAAGAAATCTATTTTATAACTGAAATTTAGCTTCTAATATCTTTACGTTTAAATCTCATCCGCTTATTAACAATTAACTTATAATCATCCCGATTATATCTCACGTTTATTCCTCGAATTGATTGCTTAAATATCCGACTATTAAATCAAAACTAACAACAGCTTTAAATTAAAATTACAACGCATCATTATCGCTTTCTTCGACGCATATGGGACCCTAGTAGCACAATATATTGGCGCTGTTGGATTAGGGCCGCATGAGAATCTTTAAGCTTGGCGCGCTTCACGTCATTGGTAGTACGTGGAGGGGCGACAACAGCGCGTGCGTCAGTGATGGTAGATGGGCCGGGTTTTTGGCGCATGCGCGGTGAAAACTGGTGAAAACAGTAATAGTAAAGTACTTAATACGAGAGAAAAAGGTGTATCGTTGATCGCCCCTACATAAAACTCATATAAAAAATTTTGAATTTAAGGAAATAAAAGCTACATATTTGTAAAGATATATAAATATAATGACACACATACACAAAGGTATATTTACCTTTACTCTAACCTAGCCTAGCCTTCTCGTCAAGACTTTCGCGCCTTTCGTGATAATCACGCCATAGTATACGTCACTGCTTTACGGGCTGCTCTCGCTGCGCATGCGCCAAAAACCGGCCCTTCTACCATCACTGGCGTGCGTCCGCCTGCGCGGAGAGTTAGTGGTTAGTTGAGAGCGGTCTATTGTACACGATAGTATCCCAAAATACACGACCATTCCTGCAAATACTTAACAGGCGCAATATTGAGAAATAATGTAAATCGAGTATTCCCAATATTGGTCCAATATTGTAAGATGGATGCCTTTTCTCTTATTTAGCCAATATGCCTATTCAGCAATATTGGTCTAATATTGTATCAAAGCTAACTCAATATTGTTATTACATTGGTAAATATTGGCCAATGCACTTCCAATATAAATCTAATATTATATAATTATTATCGTGTAATATTTACATTTATTCCATGGCCAATATTGGCTTTACATCGGACAATATCAGCCAATGCATTTCAATAATAATATCACCGACATTGGTCCAATATTTAGCCAATGTACTGTACTAGCAGAGGATTCTGCTCATCATCAGCTGCGTCTGGAATGACGCAGTTGAACTGTATTGAGAGAGTACCCGAATATATTTAGAAATTATATTCGGCGGCGCGGTTATTTCCGCGGTGACCGCAGGTATAGCTGACTACGGTTACGAAATCGAGTCGAATATCCTGTTCGACCCTCGCACTCTACGCGTATCGGACATCTCGCACATAATCACACGCCCCAACATCAACTTTCAGGGCCGTAGAAACCCATCCGGCCGGTTCCCGCTGGGGCCCGTCGCGTCGGAGGGATGGGTTTAAAGGGGCCGCGGCAAAGAGCGGAGCTGTGTGTGCTCCAACGCGGAAAGCCGGTTAGTCGGTCTCAATCCACCGTGGCGTTCGCGTTAAGCCGGTGCTCCGTTCCTCGAGTTGCGGTGCCTCGAGCCGCCGAGATTGACGACGGGACCGGAAGGAGACTCGAGGCGGTGCGGACTCGTCGCCCTGACTCGCACGTCGTCCTGGTGCGTCCGGCGTGACACAAAACGGTTCCTTTGTTTCTCGGTGTACTTTCGATTGTTATACATTCAGTGTTTCTGGTGCACGTGGCAGATGCGGTTTGCGCACGAATTTGGTGTACCCAGGACCTGCGCGCAGAAGGTACGTTTATCTCGTTTTCATTGCTAATTCCACGACGGCGCACGCGTCCTCGCGCGGTCGGAGTCACCGCGCTTATTGAAAAAATACTCAATATTAACCGCGGTCTAGGTTAATCGATGAGAGTTTATGCTCAATATACAGTGTATGCAGTGATACAATAGATAGTGACAACTGAGAATCTTGATACGTTCTACACGGAGAGAATTTTTTCTTAATCGTAGGACAACATGGCATTTTCAAGAATTTTATGAGAGTTTTTAGAAATTTAACCATACATTTTACTAGTAATTATATAACACTTACAATTAGTACACATTTTACTAGTAACATGTATGGCAAGATTTTAACGCCATGTTGTCCTACTATTACATGATTTTCAGGTTAAATTTTAAGAGAAAATTCTCTCTGTGTATATACAGACAGTCTACAAAGTCAGTTACTTGAGTGAAAACCCTAAGGTCAGATCTGAATCTTTTTCAAAATGATATAAAAGCTGGAACACTTCAAGCATTTTTCTAAGAATTTCCACATGGGAATAATGACTTCTTGAAAATTGTCCATTTCCGAAAATTAGACCCCACATAACTTCCGAACGGATAAATGTATTAACCTATACTTCTGAAAATTTTCTTTTTTAAGCTCTTTCAAACGATGAACTACAACATGGGGGGTTCCATTAAAAAATTTTAAGTTGAGGCTCCCTTTAGGTGGTAACCCTTCAAACTTTTTTAAAAGAGTAGCCCATGGAAATTGAACACGTGTTTCGCGATTTTCCATAATTATTAACCATTTCCAAAATATAGAAGTGGGAAGACTTTGTAGAACATGTGACATCCTGTATTATGTATTGAAATTTTTTCGAGAAACTGACAATAAGAAGCGTTTGCACTCTATCTTGTTTGGAATAATTTTATGTAATGCAGAAATATATTCCTGCAAGGTAGTTTTATTAGAATACATTTGTACGAGTATATTGAAGACAACACATTTTGTTCGCAAATATTTCTTTGAAGAAACTGGAAAACGCAGATTCACATTTTATCTTTCATTGCATTTGTATAAAATATTATAAATACAGTTAAATAAAACCGAAATAATCTTAAATATATCAAGTCGAATAAAATCTAGATAGTCAAATTAAGTCTTTCGAATTATTAAAATCACGAATAACAAGAAGTGGGCTTTGAGAGTCAAAGCGCGGTTATTTTTGCGTGAATTAACTTTATAAAGTACTTAATATTTTTTAAATTAAACAAACTAAATGAAAAAGTGATAGTTTAAAATTTTAATTAAACAATCACGGGAATGCCGTTCGCTTCTAATTTGTTAGTAAAGTGTAGACTTTCTCTCTCTTGTTTTATTCGCAGGAATAAAAACTCCCAAGATATATGTTTAATGTGAAAATTTCTTGGACGCGAGCAAATTAATCTTCGTACAAAACATGTCTTTAAAACAATTATTACTAAATTTACAAAATTGCTCATAATTTCGTAGAACGTCTACTCTATTAAACTCTTGCATATGCATAAAGCGTAATGTTACTCTCGAGCTATTCAGCGGGCAAACGATACTGCGCCTATTAGTAATGTCTACATATAATTTAGCGGTCAGCAACAATTATATCGTTGCTCGCACATAAAACAAAATGGTTCGTTGAGCAAGAGTCGCCACTATTTGATCAAATAAGCGGCCTTGAGTCGCCCGAGAATGCTATTGCTCAAGCACGGCTCTCCGTTCTCCGATATTCGAGGGAATATTTTCTATCAAGTATCACACACTTTGTCTTTGTAATCCTTTGCAGTTAACATACAAAGTATTTGAGAAATTTTTCTTTCATCTTGAAAATAATTCTGTCTTAATTATTTTAATTGAAAGAATGCAATTCTACTTTTAACAAAAGTTTGGTTTATAAAACTGTTCAGAGAAAAATATTTCGCAAATAAAGCAACTCGCAAAGAGAGACCCCAAAATTAGTGGTTTTTTTCGTCTATCTTTGGTCCCGCGTGTACTTATGTATTTTGGCACGCTGATTACAAATATGATAGTAAAAATTAGTGCAACTTTTATTTTCATGGTGAAAACCATACAAAATTGTCAAAAATATAAGTTTTTGGGGTTTATTTTATCAAATACTGGAAAATTCAAAAAAATGTTTTAAACAAAAATTGCAAATGTGGAATCGTATATGTACTGCAAAGTACATGCTTAGATGGGAGGATAGATATAAAATTTAGAGTCCATTATTTTTCTCGAAAACTATTGCTTGCACAGTAAAAATGAATAGAACATAAAATACATATTTCGAAGAGATCTACAACTTTTGTTTGAAACATTTTTTAATTTTCCAGTATTTGATAAAATAAACACAAAAAACATCAATTTTTTAGGATTTTGAGTTATATTCACCATGAAAATAAAAGTTACGCCAATTTTCACTATCATATTTGTAATCAGCACGTCAAAATACGTGAGCACACGTAGTTTTAAAAAAATCGAAAGTATGGGCTTTTCGGAAGTTTATCCTAAAACTTGAATCACAAATGTTTTAAATTGAGAATTGGCTCCAGAGATACAGGAAGTCAAAGCAGTCAAATTCATTATCGTGTCAATTCACACGCTTTAAAGCGTGAATTTGTATATCATTTCGAATATGTAAAACTTCATATCCAGAGGTTCTGCTGACTGCTGGCAACGAATTTGAAGTCATATTAAAAAAATTTTTAATGACTGAACGTTCGTGACACGGGCCGAGTGTCGAAGCACTCGCGGGACGCGCAGTGGTGCTGATATTTGGACTCACATATAAATTTGTGCTTCAAAGCGTATGAGCTGACGCGTTAATGAATTTTGACTGCTTTGGTCCCCTATCCCTCTAGAATCACTTCTCACCTCAACTCAAAAATGTTTTCTGATTGATGTCTTATCATAAGGTATCATTTGGCGTACATTTTAGTTCCAATGTCGCGGAACCAAAAAGAGGATTTTGGAAATCACACTCTCTTATTTCGTAATTTGTAATGTAATTTTAATGGAATGTAATTTCAATACAATTATTTGTAATATTTGCACTTGCAAATCTCGACACCGATTCACATCGTTATACATTTTCCGGAATTTGAACTGATATTTTTATTAAATATGCAAGTTAATATAAAACTATATGAAGCTAAGAGCCGTTTGAATTATCGATCTGTCAATAGCGTTATTGTGAAATCCTGCCATTGAAGTTTTGATAAAACGCTAACTGTGTGGGCACTTCAGTAAATTACAGTCCTATACTCAAACCGGCAGCTGCTTTAGTCGAACAAGCGGCTCGCAATTGTGGGACGCATATGTCAAAGTCGTAGGGACAGAGTTGCTGATTCAATCTTGGTATCTTTTTAGAAAACCCGTGCGATGATTTGTAAGTCATTTCGTCACGTTCTAGATCGATCCTCGTAAGCGATGTGTTTTATCCTCTTGTAAAAGTAAGTACCCGATCTTTCCCCGCATCTTCTGACAAGCGTCATAGATAAAATATTTTTACATTGATTTGCACACCACATTGGATATGATAAATACATTAACGACATTAAATGTATATAATAACGATTAAAAGGAATTCGATTAATCTAAATACCTGCGAATATAATAACATTGTGACATCAATTACACCGTTTTATCGCGATTTCCTGTTTCTTGACAGCAGAAGCGCTAATCGCTTTACGATCAATAAATCCTATTTAAAGATGAATGAATAAATCCACATCTTGTTTGTATAAATTATTGGACGTAGTTGTCTTATGATATAATTCTGATGAAGAACATGCGCCTGTCTCATGCAAACCTAATTAAATTTTACAAGAATTTGAATTTAAATCAAAATGTAGAAATTTTAGGATAGAATGAATTACATTTATGTAAAATAATCTGAATTTAATAATTAAATGACGAAGAATTTAATAGTAAACTTATATAATTATGTAATTTGAAATTAAATCAATAATAATATGTACAATTGCCCGTCATTTTCATAAAAATTTAAATAAACAGTAATCAAGTAATAAAAAGGGCCCGAGCCTGAACAAGGTTGTAGTGTCCAATAAAATATTGTAATTTTAATTGTAAATATATATATATATGTATACGTCTCGGTCCTTATTGGACCATCCTCAGTATAAAGAAGAGATAAATTCGATTTAGTACATGGATGGATTCGCAAGTTAAATATCTACAGAGAATTACGCAGTTATTAATATAAGATTAAAGGACGAACAATTATCATCAATTTTAACACATGAATAGATTCACAAATTGAATGTTTACAGAGAATTACGCAGTCATTAGTGTAAAAATAAAAGGACAAAACAATTATAATCAGTTATGAGATAGTAATATACATATAAAACACAGCGCAAGTGAGTACCTATAAAATGCTGATTAAAAAGAAGGAGTTGGAACCGTGTTGTACTGTGTGGATGACATTACAGTAATGAAAAAAGTAAATGTATAGGAACATGTATTTAGATAAAAATTATAAAAGGAAACAGTTTATTATTAGAGTAAGGGCTGATATCTAATAGTTAAGTGATCCTAAATGTAAATTTAAGGTTTATTGAAGCTGAGACCTATAACGATAGTTTTCATTTTCGTTGTCATCAACAATGGAGCCATTACGGAAAAAGTATAGCGGCATCGCGCAGCCCACTTCTCCACTTCCTCGCTAAATTTGGATTAACCTAATTTATTGTGTGCGAACATTCCCAAGGCGCTTAACTCAAGTCTCACAGGAAAAAAATGGAGGGAGAGGGAGGCAGAGAGGACGAAGGAGACAAAGTAGTAGCAGCAGTAGCCAGCATAAAGGCTAAAGCGCTATCCAATCAAGAATTACATAATTTAATTATTTGATTATATTTCATTCGAAAAAAAATCATTTTTATCTTCTCTACAAAACTAATGATATCAAATGGCGTCAATTAAAATGGATACAAACTAGACACTTAATTTTTTTTTT